ATCTTTTTCTAAGCATAATTTTCTTTTGGGATTCATTAGTTATTGCTTGTACCAGCGGTTTGTTTCTTTTTTATTGCTTAGTAGCATTCAAATGTATGAATATATCACAATTTTTTTATCCATTCACTTGTTGATGGACATTTTAATTTTGTCCACTTTGGGGCTATCATAAGTAAAATTGCAGCCATTTACTTTTGATATTGTTCATCTGTGTCTAACTTTTTTAATTTTCTTGATCAATACAGCTAAAGTTTTACTGATTTTATTGGTGTTTTCAAAAAAGCTTTTGGCTTCATTTTTCTTTTCTTTCTCTGTTAAGTAAGAGTATTAAATTACATTCAATCTGTTTCATTTTCTCCTCTTTATTTCCTTTTGTCTACTTATTTTGAGTTATTATTTCTTCCCTAAGGTAGAAGCCTAGACCATTGATTCCATTGATTTTGGACTTTTTTCCCTAATATAAACATTTAAAGCTATAAATTTCCTTATAAGTACTGCTTTAACCACATCCCACAAATTTTTCACTTTCATTGACTTCAAAATATTTTAAAATTTTCTTTTTGATTTCATTTTTGGCCCTTGGATAATTTGAAAGTGTTATTTAATTTCCAAATATTTGCCATTTTTCTAGATATTTACCTATTACTGATTTCTAGTTTAATTTTGTTATGGTCAAAGGACATATTTTAGAGTATTTCAGTAGTTTTAAATTTTTTTTTTTTTTTTTTTTTTTTAAAAGATGACCGGTAAGGGGATCTCAACCCTTGGCTTGGTGTTGTCAGCACCACGCTCAGCCAGTGAGCAAACCGGCCATCCCTATATAGGATCCGAACCCGTGGCCTTGGTGTTATCAGCACCGCACTCTACCGAGTGAGCCACGGGCCGGCCTAAAATATTTTGAAACTTGTTTTGTAGCCCAGCATTTTGTCTGTCTTAGTGAACGTTCCATGCACACATGAAAACAATTGGCTGTTGTTGAGTGGAGTGTTTTAGGTCAGCTTATTTGTGTTGTTGAGATGTTCTGTATCCCTCCTGATTTTCTCTCTACTTTGTCTGTTACCAAGAGAGAGAACTCTTGAAATCTCTAAGTTTAGTTGTGGATTTGTCTGTTTCTTCTTCACTTCTGTCAGTTTTTTGCTGCATTTATTCTGAAGCTTTCTTATGGGTGTGTGCACGTTTAGGATTATTGTCTTCTTGATGAGTTGACAATTTTATCGTTATGAAATATCCTCTTTGTCTTTAAGCCTGTTCTATCTGTTATTGATATGGCCACTCTAGCTTGGTATACTTTCACATTCTTTTACTTGTGTATTTGTTTTGTTTTGTTTTCTTTTTGGTGGCTGGCTGGTAACAGAGATTGAATCCTGGACTTTGGTGTTATTAACACCACACTCTAACCAACTGAGCAAACCAGCTAGCCTTACGTTTTTAAAGTGGGTTTCTTGTAAGCAGCATATAGTTAGGTCTTGCTTTTTTATCCAGTTCGACAATCTCTGCCTTTTAATTGGAATTTTAAATCATTTGTACTCAATGTGATTATCAGTATGGTTGGATTTAAGTCAACAATCTTAATCTTGCTATTTATTTCCTATTTGCCACATTTGTTCTCTGTGCCTTCTTTTTCTTGCTTCTTTTTGTATTTATTCAGATGATGTTAGGGTTTCGTTTTTTCTCTACTATTGGCTTTTTGGCTATATCTCTTTATTATTTTAGTTGTTATTCCAAGGTTTGCAATATATATCTTTAATTTCTACAGTCTGCCTTCAAATAATGTTATACTACTTCATGTATAATGAAAGAATCTTTCAAAAATATACTTCCAGTTTCCCCTCCTGTCCTTTGTTTTGTCATATTTCTTACATATACATATATTATAAACACAATACATTTTTTATTATTTTTGCTTTAAATGATCAGCTATCTTTTAAAGGTATTATGAGAAGTCTTTTTATATACCCACGTCATTCCTGTTTCCAATATCTTCCATTCCTTTTGTAGATTCAGATTTCCATCTGGTGTCTTTTTCCTTCTGCTTGAAGGGCTTCCTTTATATTTCTTATAGTGATTATCTGTTGGCAACAAATTCTGTCAGATTTTATTTTTTCTGAATAAATCTTTATTTCACATTGATTTGTGGAAGTTTTTTTCCTCCAATCTATAAAATATTCTAGGTTGACAATTTCTTTTAGCACTTTAAAGACCTCATTGAATTGTTCTCTGGCATGTGTGGTTTCTGATGTGAAGTCTGGTAAATTCTTATTTTGTTCCTCTGTATAATTTCCCTGTTTTCTATGGCCTCTTTTAAGATTTTTCTTTTAATAACTGATTTTCTGCTATTTGGTATATCTAGGCATGGTTTTCTTTGTCTTTATTTCGCTTGTGGTTCATTGAATTCCTTGGAGTTTTGTATAGTTTTCATGAAATTTGGAAAACTTTTGGCCATTGTTTTTTCAAATATTTTGTATCTCTTCTCTCCCTCATTTTGGAGATCTATTTACATATTTTAGACCTGTGATATTGTTCCACAGGTCATTGAGACTTTGTTCATTTTTTTCCCCAGCCTTTTACTCTGTCTTCAAGTTTCAGTAATCTTTTTCTTTTTTTTCCCCTGTGCACTGTCATATCTGTTCATTGCATCTCCTTAATTTATTTGAGGTATTTTATTTTTCATTTCTTGAATTTTCTTTTGGGTCTTTTTATATTTTATTTTCCTTCATTCTGTTCTTGCATTTCTTTAACTACTTGGACATATGATAGCTTTTTAATATCTTTGTATGCTAATTCTATAATTTATCATTTTGGAGTCTGTTTTTATCGACTGATTTTTCACTTGATTGTAAGCCACAGTTTCTTGCTTCTTAGCAGTTGTGTGTGTGTGTGTGTGTGTGTGTGTGTGTGTGTGTCTTCCTTTCATGAGTATTTAGTTTTGTTCTGGTAAGCAGTTTAGTAATTTATCATTAGTTTGGTCATTTGAGGATTGCTTTTAGTTTGTCAGAGCAGGTTTAGATTATCTTTTACTCTGAGGATGGTTAACCCTACTATGAAGGCATGGTCCTTCTAACGTTTCTGCTGAATGCCTTAGGGATCAATGAGGACTCTCCACCCTGGCTGATGAAATATTGAATGATTTGTAGCCCTGCAAGAACTCTGAAACTCCTCAGCTCATAGCTGTCCAGTTGGTACTAGCCTGATCTGGCGGAGTTTCACA